AATCCAGAAATAGTCCTAATTTTATGATGGTTCCTTAATATATTTTAACTACATTGCATTTGAGTATGGAGAGGCAACTATCTGGAAGTATTTTACATAAAAAATTTACTAAGTATTGCCCGGTTTCTAGTTGCAGTTAAAGAAAACACATGAAAAGGCACGATTTTTTTTTAATTCGAAGAAATGTAAATATTTCAAAAACGGTGACACTTTTACCTGAAAATTTTTTGTTTATCAGTGAGCTCACCCGCCCACCTACCTTCCCCTAAAGTTTGGCACGTTACTTCTGGGACACCCGGTATGACCTCTTGGCATCATTGGCATCTCCTAGACAGGTGGGTAACTTAAATTTGGAAAAAATTTTCAAAATATTGACTGACCATTTCTCTCCACGCCCATCTGAAGTTGCTGCATTTTATCACTTCCATAAATGTGATCAACATCCGGACGAGTCTGTCAGCAACTACATTGCGGCTTTACGCACATTGGCTATCAATTGCAAATTTCGTATGCGGAATGAAAGACGAAGGATTGCAGAAAATTCTACTGGCTGAAAGGGAATTGACAGTGCAAAAGGTGCTTGAACGTGCCTTATCAAGTGCTGCTTCGCCATGAATGCTAGATTAATCAGGCAGTCAAGCGAACAAGTCCACTCTGTCAAAGCAAGCCGTCTACGTCCCCAGCAGCACCAGCACAAGAACATAAGCAATGAAGAGGCAGCATGCGCAGGCTGTGGAGGTCAACATACACGAAAGCAATGCCCGTACAAGGAAACGACTTGCCATCATTGCAGTCTCAAGGGTTATCTGCAACGCGTATGTCACAAAGCGGAAAATTCCTCCAGTTCCAGCTCTACGAAGGGTCCCACTAGATCTCGTCGAGGATTCGGAAAAGTAAATCATCTCATCGAGATTCAGTCAATCAAATCACGCGTTTGGTCAATCAGAAAAAATCAATTTCCGTGACGATTAATAGTTATAAATGCCTGCTCGAAGTTGATTCCGGTTCATCAGTGACGATTATGACTGAGGCAACGTTTCAAAAGGTTTGGCCCCAGAAATCGCCGAGATTAGCTAAGTGTAATGTGGATCTCAATGACTACCAGCATAATTCCATACCAATCAAAGGTGTGCTCGACGTATCGATATTGTACAATAATCGCAGAATTATTAATCTGCCGCTGATCATTGCAAGCGGTGGTATCTCAAATCTCGTTGGCAGTAATTGGTTCGAAGCGCTAGGCATACGTATCGAAGGTATTTTTAATGTCAACAGCAGCGCAGGCATAAACTCAGTACTTCGTAAGTTTGAACACTTATTTTCATCCGAACTTGGTCGATATTCGGGGCCACCGGTGTCGTTGCAAATGAAGTCGTCAGCGCAACCTATCCGGTTGCCCCCGCGGCGCATTCCCTTTGCGCTTAGGGGTATGGTCGAAGAAGAAATCGATCGCTTATGTGAGCAAGGAATTTTACAGCCCGTGGGTTATTCAGATTGGGCAACCCCAATCGTGCCTGTAGTTAAAAGGGCGGCGACTACAAGTCGACATTAAATCGGCGGATCAATTTACGCTAAAATTGATTTATCGCAAGCATACCAACAGGTGAAAGTTGACGAGCGATCGGCATTGCTGCAAACGATTTCCACGCACAGGGGCGCATGCAGTTCGGGATCTCATCAGCGCCTGGAATTTTTCAAAGCTGTATCGAAAATATCTTAAGGAATATTACGGTGGTCCTCTGTTATTTCGACGACATAGTAGTCATGGGCAAATGCGAGGATGAACTAGCAAAAAGCTAGAAGAAGTATTTGCACGTTTTGATAAAGCGGGACTACGGCTGAGTAAGGACAAGTGCAAATATGGTGTACCGTCAGTGCACTTTTTGGGATTTAAACTCGATTCCCTTGGCGTCCGACCATCAGTCGAAAAGATCTAGGAAATTCATGAAGCACCATCTCCTAGAGACAAAAAGCAGCTACAAGCTTTTTTAGGGTTAATTAATTTTTACCATTAATTTTTGCGCCACAAAGCAACAATAGCGGGACCACTACATCGGTTATTAGAGAAAAATTTCCGCTGGCGTTGGGAGAAAAAACATGAAAAGGCATTTAACGAATTGAAAAGGCATTTAACGAATTGAAAAGGCTTATATTTAGCATAGAACAAAGTATTAGTGCACTACGATGAAAAATTGCCGATAATATTAACATGCGATGCATCGCCTTACAGACTAGGAGCAGTGCTTAGCCATAAGTTAGCAGACGGATCGGAAAAACCCATCGCATTTTATTCGAGAACTCTATCCAAGGCGGTATGAAACTACGCTCAAATTGATCGAGAAGCAGTAGCACTCATAGCGGGAGTAAAGTTCATAATTATCTTTATGGACGTTCCGCCACAATCTCGTGAATCTATTTTACATGCTCTACACGCAACACATCCCGGTATCGTTAAAATAAAGGCCCTGATTCGAAGTTATGTTTGGTGGTCGAACATTGATGCAGATATTGAGAAAACTGTGAAGAAATGTACCAACTGTCAGCAAAATCGCAATGAGCAGCCCAAAACGGCAACACACCATTGGGAATCCGCTAAGCGACCATGGTCTCGGTTGCATATCGACTTCGCCGGACCTTTCCAAGGCAAAAAATTTTTCCTCGTAGTGGACTCATACTCAAAATGGCTTGAGGTCTCCGTTGTTCCCTCTGCATCAACAGTAGCAGCCACAAGAGTTCTTCGTCAGCTGTTCGCCACTCACGGCCTGCCAGACAAGATCGTGTCAGACAACGGGACTGCTTTCACTTCTGAAGAGTTCAAGAAATGCATGGAGAGCAACTTAACCCGCCACATCCGCTCTGCTCCCTTTCATCCTGCGACAAATGAACAAGCGGAACGTATGGTTCAGAGCACAAAAAACTATTTGAAAAAGCTGGATCCCTCGACGAATATTGATTTAAGTCTAGCAAGATTCTTATTTAATCAACATATGACGACACATTCGACCACCAATCGTTCGCCAGCACAATTGCTATTTAATCGCGAACTTAAGTTATATTTCGACAAAATACATCCACACGAAATTACATACGGTAAGATAGCCGACATGTCCAGTGGTAATCCTTTTCTTACAGGTAGTTTGGGTTCGTAACTATGCTGGAGGACCTAAATGGATTGAAGTTCAAGTCACTGGCCAAACTGGACCTATATCCTACAGCGTGCTTGTTAATGATTCGAGAGTAGTGAGACGTCAAGATCAGCTTCGTAACCGCACAGTATCCTCATCCGATTCTGAAGGCGTGCATGTACATGACGAAAATTCTGAAGCTAGCCTGCTTGAGCCAACTGAAGAAGTAATAGCTGAATGCCCTAGGAGTGATCATGAAACCCTAAGTCCAGCATTAGAATCGGAAAACAATACCGAAGCTTTTACTCCGTCCACACCGGCACCAACTCCTCACAGATCTAATCGCAACAGGCAGCCTACAGAATTCTATTCAGCATCTGGGTGTTAAGGGGTGTCATGTATGTAGTCAGTCGCTCTGCAACAGTCGGCTCGATCGCTTCAGCGCATGTCACTACCCAACAATTCAAGCTATTCTTAATACCTTTTACTTGTCATTATATTTACTCTCAAATACATAATATATAAGTACATAATTCCAATAGTAACTGTCGTTTATGTGTATATACATTGCATATCACGCGCACATAAAACATATATTTTACTTTTTAATAATTTTAACGATATTAATATTTTGCAATGCAGTTTGCTTTTACAGAAAATGGTGAAAATAACAAAACAATTTTAGTTCCCGTGAAGTACGCCCTTTTGGCGAAACAAAAGCGAAGACTGATTGCAGTTTTTTTTCTTTATCAACTGAAGCACCTCTTTTAAAACTACCGACACACCAAGTTTACCAAATTGAAGTCATTGCTGTGGCACTTTCTTCTGCGAAAAATTGAAGAGGTACGCAAGCTTTTATGAGCCGAGGAATTGAAGTTGAACGAAATGGTTCATCTGTTTATTAGCCAATTATACTGCAGCTTCTCTTGTAAATCCTCAATATGCTTTGAAAATGAACACAAAACGATAGTAAAAGAAAAACCTTGAAAGCATTAGCTTTTGCTTACAGTGCACGAGTTACATATGTAAATAATTATGCAAAAACACCTGACGGTGCAACTGACAAATACGAAGAATTTTTAAAGCAAATATACAAAGCAGTAATATAAAACCACTTCCGGCCTATTGGTAAAATTGTACACAAAAAGAGTAATTGAAAATTTAAAAGACAACAAATTTCCAGGAATTATAGAATTGAACAATAAAATGATTGTTAAGCAGTTTAATTAAATTCACAAGCCGAAAGTAGTGAATAAGCAATTATTGTAAACAGAATAAGTTTCGTTTAAAGTTGAGGAAATTAAATAAATCAGTCTGGTTTTGTGCATCTTCAGCGTCACTTCGCTGTAATCCAAATTGTAACTTTTTGCCTTTTTTAAAAACCCGTTCGCCACGACCCAAAGTGAAACTGGCGCAGTCGGTTATCCTGCCCAGCAAGTGTGGTTACGATAGTGATACGGAAATACGGTTAAATTACTGATAATTCCCAAAAATAATCCTGCGAATCTGTAGCCAACTTAGGAGTTGTCCAGACCCTCCAGGATATAATATAAATAAAACATATAAAAAAATAAAAGTTTTTACAGTGAAAAGCGACCTTATAATTAAAAAGGCGTTTATTCACCAGAACAATACTAAACGTGAAGTGAACGAGGAAAAGGAGCAAAATTAAATCAATCAGGCAGCGAGTGTTCGACGTAAAAAGAAAGATGTCACAGGAGCAGATTCAAATACCGAACGTTGAGCTTATTGAGGAGCTGAATCGGAGGGAGCAGCAGTTTGAGCAACTAAGACAAGCGTACATCGAATTACAACAAAGACAACCCAAAGAATCATAAAATATATTAAACCTTTACCAACGTTTACTGGAAGAGGAGACGTAACAATAAACTCATTTATGAGTAGTGTGGAATATCTATTATCAAATATCAGAGATGAGGATACTCGAAAAGAAGCTACAAGGGCAGTCTATTATCGTACCATACAAGGGAAAGCAAAGGATGTAATTATAAACTTACCACACCCCGACAACTGGACGAAAATTAAGAGGGCGCTAAAACTACGTTACAAGCCGGATGCAGAACCACATGAGCTATATAGGAGGATTTGCGGACTGAAGGCGAACACGGTGAGTGAGTTAGCAGTAGAAGCTCAAAAGATAAAATACAAAGCTGACGAAATAAAAGTATACCATAAAGACGATGTAGGGATTGACCTTAGTAACGTGGACAGTCTGTTAGTAGACACTGTTGGAGACATGAGCCCTTAACTTACCATTAATTCGTGTCCATTTTTT